CCTCAGCACATGATGTCAGTCCCACCACAGCAAACTTCATGCATTGGGGTGCTGGCAAGGCCAGATCAAACTGGGGCTACGGATGTGTACACACAGATGCCTGTTAGAGCTGATCTCAGCCAGATGGTGTTTGTTGCCCCAGTTATATTCCTGGCTCTTAACTGCCAACCAAGCTGTGACATAGCAAGTTGTTAAATGAAGTGCTCATAGGGTCTGGATGTCACTGTTGGCAAACAAGGACAGGAGGCTGCTGTTGGAAAAGGCTGCTTGTATGTGTGTGTGTTTGTCTGCACACACGTTAGCGATATCCAAGGCATGGGGTGAGGTGAGTCTCTTTTGTCCTGGTCCCTGAGCTGTCCTTCTCTGCTGGAGAATGCCTCAATCACACAGTGTATTTTTCCTAAGCACAGTTGTACCTAAACATATCTTTTTACTCTCATCTCTCCAGTAAATATAACTCAGGCAAGACACCTATCAGAGCAAGGGGCAGTGCCAGAGGTATGGGCTCATGCTTGGAACTCCTTCATTTGTCCTGAGCATGGCAATGAAGATGGAAGGGCTGAATGAATGGCCCCAGAGAGTCTCTCCTGTCTCAAGGCTTGTCAAGGTCCTAGACCTCTCAGACCCAGTGTGATGCTCAAGTCCCAGGTGAAAGTGCAGCATGGAGCATGCTATTACGGCAGTTCCAAGCTGGTGTAGCTTTTCACAGAGCCTCCATGTCAAGCTGCTCCAGCATACTGATTGGTATCACAGCTCTTTGAATGCACAGCCTTTGTTTTGATGAATCTGAAGTCAAATTACTTACTACTGCAGGCCAAACCCATAGCATGAACTGGCCTCAGTTATGTGGTATATGGAGATCCTGAAAGTGCCGAATATGGAAGTCCTGAACTACTTTTTGCACCTGAAAAATGTTTGGATATTTTATTCACAAGGTTCAGTAAAAATCCCAAGTGGTCAAATAATGAGAGGATTGATGTAGAATTCCCCAGGTTTTCATGCCAGCTAGTAGGCTGGTGAGCACAGTTGAGTGAGATTTGTGTGCATAAGACCATGGGAACTGGAGAATATTCTTGGGAGAAGGGAGTGAATGTGCCCAGGTCTGTGTAGGTAGTGTCCATGGTGTGCAGATCCTTGAGCCCCACCCTCTCAAATGCATCCAAGTGTCTTAAGAGAGGTAGCTATTTAGCTTGCTAAACCCAGATACTGGGTTGATACAGTTTCATGTAGATGACTGAAAGACCAGGGCCAAGTACCAAATCTAACTACAGATGGACAACATGGATGCACTCAGTGTCATGGATTGTGTTCACAAGGTATGAGAAGAAAATGTACAATTTTCCAAGCTGTACTGTGCACAGGAGCAGTTTTGGCAACTGTATGCATGCTCTTGCAACTCTACAGGTAGGTAGAAGACAGCAAAAAGGACCAACATGAAAAATTGACTATACTGTTAGGCGTATATAATCCTCCAAAACAGTGAAAACTCCTTGGATTCACAGACACACAGAAAATCAGATATGTTGCCCAGACTCTTTACCAATCCCCTCATTTAAAGAGCTGAGGCAGCAGAGACGCTAGTTGTCAGAAAGCTCACTGCATTAAGAGGTAACGTTTCATGCCCACTGATTCAGCTCTTCCTTCCCTGAATTGAGTATATGGACTTGGCTCAATAACAGGCCAGGTACCTTCTGTACAGTTTCCACAGGTCTTAAAGATGGCATCTGACACAGAGTAAATGGCCGAAGTTCAACTAGAGTCAGTGAAAAGTTTGCCCAATTTGGAAATGGAGTTCTTCTCAGGGACATGAGCCAGACCCATTCATATTTGTGAAAGCGTATCTAGCACACTTTTAGTGTGTCTGCTATTACTTTTGCCATGAGGCTGAAGTTTTTAATGAGATTAATCATCCATGGGTCACTGTGACCAGTGATGGATGAGGTTCTCAGCAAAATCAGTTTATTGTTTCTTTCTACCAAGGATTGCTGCCACCCTTCTGCATCCCAAAATGGATCACAGTTAAGATGATGTGGTTTGATCTGGTTTTCCCTGACCAGATGCTTCAATTCAGTGCCTGCAGTTTGTTGAAAGCAGTTTTCCGATAAGCTCAAGGGAGTTTAATGGTAGCAGGGCATTAGCCCACCAATGCCAATTTGCAGGATTGGGTGTCAAGATATGCAAATGAATTAAATTAGATCTTGTTTTCAGAGGGTATCATAAGCTGTCCTTTGAGTTTTATATGCTTTTGGACATGATTTGATACATTAACATTTAATTCTTGCCGGATGGGGTTCACTTTCCTCTGAGGTAAAGAGCTTACAGTGTGATACAGATCTTGTACCTCTCTCCTTCCTCTGCTAATAAGAAATACAAGATCCGGTTTCTCCCTCCTCTTCTTTCCCCCACTGCTTTCCTCCCACAATGTTTTAAAAATCGTGACAGTAATATGAAAAATAGTGTTGTAGGGCTCTGTTTTTGCTCAGTGACTCCTGAATCATGTTTGCTACCTTGATGTGCCAGTGCTGTTGGGAACTGAGCAGTGACGCTGGTTTTCCTGCTCTTCTTCAAGTCTGTCCTGTCCTGGGACAACTGCTTCACCTTGACCCAAATATAAGAACAACTAACAGGAGAATTTTGCTAAAGTCCTTGACTTCTGCTAATCTCATCACCTTCTGGGGTGAGATTTGGGGATATTAGCCAGTCAAATGTGAATATTTGCCACATGCAGGCCCTCAGGACAGTTCATAGCTTTGCAGCTCACCATGCTATATGATTTATGGAATTCCAAGTGATGTGGGACATAACCACTGCCAGTATTTAGGATCATAGATTTTAAAGGTCAATAGGAACCACTAGCCCTCATTATATCATAAACCAAATAATTTAATCTGGTAAATCCTGCCTCAAATTCCTGTCTCGTGGTTGAGCTGGTGCATGTATTTTCAGGAGTTGCTCCAAACTGAGTTTAGAGATTTTATTTTAATGAAGCATCCCACTGAGTTCTCTGTGTCCCTGTAACCCTCCTTGTGTGCAGCACCATGTGCCACGTACTCGCATCTCCATTCTTACAGTCAAATTTTGCTTAAAACATATCCAGTTTTGGTTAGAACAGCATTATTTACTGAGGATTGCCAATGTGTTCTGCCTTGCTTAAGTCACAGTTTTATGATGTAAATTAGACAGATAATACTGTCTGTAAACCATACTGCATGATCAGATGGCAGACTAAGCTTAGTGAGATAAAGATTTCCTTTTTAATTAAAACTGCAACACTTCTGTGTGGTAGATTAACACTGAAAGGGTCACTGGAGGAAGTGAATTAAAGTCAGATTTGAACAATAAGAAAGTGACCATTTTTGAGCAATTTAGCAGCATAAAAACAGTGTCACTTCTCAATGTCTTCCTTGCAGGACTACTAAGATTGTACTATGTTAACACTCACAACTCCTTAAAGGTAGTAAAATGTCATCCTCATTTTATTGGTATGAAAACTGGGATATGGAAGGTTAAAATAATAATGAAATTATATCAGGCTTCTCTTTCACAGTCTTCATCTTGACAATAAGACCTTGTTTTCGGAAGCCTCTGGTACCCAAGGCTCCCACTAATTTCTGTGGGAGTAAAGAGAGTTTTTTCAACAACTCCAGAAATCAAGCCCCAGTAGTTCTCTTTAGGTAAATCATGTTTTTCCTTCAGAACATGTGCATTCAACAGTTAAGCTGCCATATGAACATTTAATTCCCACAATACCCAATCCTTCTGGCCAGCTTGTCCCAGAAGACTGTCAGTAACCAGTGCTGCCACAGATGTCACACTTGCAATGAAACATCCTGGCTTTACAACAAAAAGAAAATTTCCTTTTTCCTAAATTCTCCCAGGCTACAAGTTCTTGAATCTGACTGATGCAATCCTATCTTCATATAGGCTTGAAGATTAGTTTCTCCCTATTACACTGTCTCTGCTGTTCAGATGACATCTGCTAATAAAGCCAAGTATAATAGATGGTTAACTTCAAATCTAAAACTTGCACATGGATTCTTTTGCTAAATACTCTGCAATTAGACATAAACTGAGCAAGGCAGAGACTGCAGTACTGTATCACTAGGAAACGTGCAAGGAGAAGAAATCTGAGCCATCCTTGTTTCATTAAAAAAATAAAAGCAGCTGAGACGCATACCTAAGAAATACAAGGGGAAATAAGAAATTCTGAATCACAAAGAACAAAATTATTATAATTAAATTTCCATGTGCATATTTACAGATTAGAAATATGTAACAATTCTTAAGCAAATACCAGCTTTCTTCCAGAAAAAAACCTGTCTGTTGAAAACAACAAATCCAGATACAAACATTACAGATATCTGGTTACAGATATTACAGAACAGAGCAGCTATTTGGTATTAAACTTCAATAAATAATCAAATATTTCTGTGCTGGCACAAAGGAAAAAAATAAAAGAAAAAAAGCATAACCCTGCAGATAGGATTGGTGGGAAAGAGGAAATGAACCGAATTAATCACCCACAAGTTCCTCCAAAAGTGACTTCATCCTGTTCAACCTTCTATATGAGAAAACCCATAGGAAAACCAGAAAGCCTCTAATACTCAAGCTGCCAGGTCCTTGAAAGGAGGTTGATTTTAATTTGAATATTTCAACAGCACAACAACATCCTCAGCCTAAGAGAGAGCCTCTGGGCAGAGGCAAGGTTAGTTTATAACTATAATAAATAAAATTATGCTTACCCCTTCAAGTACCTCAAAGGAAATTAATTTTTAGTTTTATGGAATAACTGTGAACAAAAACCACATTAAGCAGCATAGACCACATTTGAGACTAGTACAAGCAGTGCCAGCTCTCCAGGCATTTAGGAATTAGAAAGAGAGCTCTAAAAAGCATATTTTGCTCCCAGCCCTCCTCATATCCCCTACTACAGAAATCCAGGAGATTGCAGATGCGGGCAGGCTAAGGGAGGACCCAAGCCTCCACCTGCAATTACCTACCCCCATCATTTTATGCCAGTAAACTCTGCAATGCAGCAGTGAGTACTCTGCACTTGGGTAAGTGTTTGCTTGTCTCTCGATGTCTGTGCCAGTGAACGTGTGCAGGCAGCAGGGAGCTTTAATAAAGCAAACTCCGCAGTAGACTGCAGAGCAGGCTGATTAACAGTTTCGGTGGTACTGGGGAGCATGGCAGAGCGCTCTGCTTCCCCTCCTCCACTCAGCCTTAAACCTAATAGATTAAAGCTTTGACCAGCATCAGGTGGTTAAAACACGTTCATTAACTCGTGGTGCTTTCTGCCTCCTCACCATAGAAAAGCTGCAGGAGTTGCTTACGATGATCACATACAAAATGTGTTTATTGGACTTCAAAAGAGCTTGTCTCCTTCATGCCAAGACCGTCCTTTAAAATTATATTAATTAAGGAAGCAGCTTTAATACAACAGGCAAATGGCATATAATCAGTGATTATAGCAGCAGGAAAGGACATGATTTCACAGAGATTCAGTGAGGAGGGGACAAATGCAAGATCTTGTCTTCCCCACACAGGGGCTTTGACCCACCCTGCTCCCTCTCCCTGCTCTCCCGGTCCCACAGGTGGCATCTGCCTCGAACGGAGGTCTCTGAGGGAATCTGAGTCAGGGAGAGAAAAACAATTTCCCTCCTCCTCCTGTATCAAATCAGCTGGGGAAGGAGATGTGTTTCCCCAGCCCTGTTTTCAGACCGAGGGAAAAGAGGGTGATGCAGTGACAAAAGGGTGCAGAGCCACAGTAACCCCAACTGTCCTCATGGAGAAAAGCGGGGGCAGCCGGCTGGGCTCAGTGCCTTGAGGTGGGAGCAAGTAGAGTAAGCCCTGGCAGGGTGGAGATACTGAGGGCAGGCAGGGCAGTGAGGGGCAACCTCCAGCATGGAGCAGGGACTGGAGCACCAATGTGGGGAAACACTCATCAGGCAGAGAATGATCAACAAGCAGATTCACCCAGCTATAAGTTGTTTATGAGAAAAGGATGGAAACCAAATTAATACATTGTCCCAACTCCTGTCCCCACACTCCCACTCAATCTATTTGCTTTTTTCTCTTTGGTCTTTGCTCCTGCCCTCCCACATGAAAAAATATAGTTACTTGTTTATATTTCTTGCCGTCCATTATAATGCCTTATAAAACCACTACCCAGGCTTCTGGGCCAAAACCCCATTTTGCAGCTGTAGAAAATGCAGCTTGTAGAGGTAGAGTGACTCAGTTGGGATTTTATAGCCAGCCCACATCAGAACCGGCTTTCAGTGCTCATCTGTTTTGGCTCCTAAAATGAACCTTCTTCTACCAGCACCAGAACTTTCCACTGGAGCTGCAGTTACCCACTGCACTGAATTTGCTATCTTTAGCCCCTCAGTTGGGTATTTGTTCTTTGTTCTTCAGAGTCCTAGATGTTGCGGGATGTAAAGCTGAGTGTGTACTATTGTTCACTTCAGCTTTGTGCTGATGAAAGAACAAGCACAAAAGAAGGGGAGAAAAGGAGAAAAGGGGGCACTTTCTAGTATAAAAGGCTCTGAAATCCCATATGGAAAAACTCTATAGAAGTGAATAAATGTGATTCTAAAACCCTATTGAATTTACAAGAGAATGATCTCCTTCCCACATGGTTTTCAAACACCATATAGACTGTTGCAGTGTTTGAGCATCAAGAGAAAGAGATCAGTCTCTTTTGAATGCTATGGATTTATTTATATAAAACTGTTGCTTGAATTTCCACTAGGTATCTTATGGAAAAGGCCTAGGGAAAAGGATGAAAAGACAACTAGGAAACAATTTTAGTTCGTTTGTTTTGGATTTTGAAGTGTTTGTGGAATAGCAAGCATCACTGTTGCTTTCTTTGCCTCATTCTCAGTGGTATTGTATTTGTTTACTTTGTTTATAGGGTTTTTTTGTGGGAATTGCCCCCACAGTGTCAGGCAGGGATTTTTAAAATAGTGTGAATGCTTTCCTAGATGTTTTTTGAGATGAGTGGCTTGCCTGAGTCTTTATCTTCACTACACATGGAGGAGGCTGTGGTCAGGCGAAGGCAAGTGGGTCTTCATATTAATTTATCTTGCTGGATGAAAAAGCAGGAGCAACTGAAACAGTGGTGTGTATTATATCATCGAAAGCCTCTTAGGAGAGAGGGCTGCAGAAGGCAGCATTGCAAACAGAAGGCCTTTGCCATGTAGCTGCTGTGAAGTCACAGGCTGTCAGTCTGCCAGAGAGGGCCACAGCTGTGCCAGATGTGTGGTGATATGAGCACAATGAAATTCAACATGACATTCAGGTAGATTAATTTCTCCACACAGAATTTAGTGAAACTGTTCCCAGATCCTCCTGCACATATGTGCATGTGTGTAGGTATGTTACATAAAAGCAGTGTTTATTCTGGATGCCCAGAGGAAACATTAAATGACTGCATGCACTGCTGACGATGGACACTAGAGAGCCCAAAGGCAACTTTTCTATCATAAATTTGTGTCAGCTTTTATATGCTACAACATCTGGGCCCAAAATTGGAGCTAGAAATCTAATAAGACAGTTTGGTTATGAGCAGTCACTCCAATGTCTTGACCCTGATGATCTCCCTTTTTTAGATGATAAAAAGCTTGGCCTACTCACTTACAGACTGTTCATTTCAGCTATCCCCAAGTCATGCGATCTTGCTGGCAGGGGAGAAGCAATCCCTGAGAGTCCTGGGTATCAATCTTTGGCCACAAAAAATTCCCTGCTGGTGTTGCGCAAATTATCTGTCAGTTGACATGTACTGCTTTCTCTGTCCTAGTGAGTGGTCTCTTTGCTGCTGGCACATGTGTGATGAGACACACAGTTCCATCCCTCTTGGAAAGCTCTTGTGCCATAGTGACAGGCAGATATCCCAGAACTGCTGGGCTCTTTCCTGGGGTGGTAGCTGGGCTAGGGAAGGCCATGTAAGAGGAAAGGAGAGGTTTTATGGTCCTTGCCTCTTCCCCTGCCCATTTGGACAAGGCTGGGAGCAGTCTCCTCAGAACTTTGCTTATCCAGCCATGAAACATGGATAGCAATCACTCTTACCTCCCAGTGGGATTGGGAAGCTTTGTTTAGCAATGCTTATAAAATGCCACCACTGAAATGTGGGGTAGAAGGGCAGTGTTTTAATTTTATTATTGTTGATCCTTCAAATGTGCTGGAGGGAAAGGGCTATTGCAGGGACCACAACGGCATCTTTGTAGGTTACAGGACCATCCTGGGTTGCTTTCTCCCGCGTACACCAGGAAGTCTTTGCTTTCCTTGTATGTTGGAAAGGCTGCTCCTATACACCGTGGCACTGGATGGCAGCCTGCACTCAGCAGGAAACTGCTGAGTCAGATAACCTACTGAATATTTTGAAGCTTCTTGCCCTTTGGATGGCATTTTTCCACATGTTTCTATGTTGTTTCCATTTTATTCTGGGCCTCTGGGTTGATACAGACCCAGGCTGCTGGACAGGGTTGAGTCCAGCCCCGAACTGCGGAGCCAGGCTGGCATCACAGGTATGTATGGCACCTAGAGCAATGGGTCCTGTCATGGGTTACCTCAACAGACACAGCCACAAAGCAGAGAAGTGATGGTAATAACACTGTAACACAGGAGTTAGAACATATTTTGCTTTACAGTGCTCTTTCTACAGATATCACTGGATTTCAGTCAGCTCCCAAATGCAGCTCCTGTTTTCGGACTGCCCCAGTGGTTTTTAGCTCTCAGGCAGCAGTGGCAAGCATGCCACTGGGAGCCATTCCCATTCCTGGGCTCATTTCTGTGCTGCCACTGAGGCTGCCCAGATCCACAGCGTGTTCAATTAGGTGAGATTAGGGCTCTGTCTCAAGCATCATCATTCACACTGTGAGTGCCAGTATGCCTGGACTTCAATGAATCAGTGCCATTTTTTAATTAATGATGAATTTTCAAGGTTATTAATTAACCCTGTTAATTTTGCTGTTCCATTTCTTAGAGATAAAATCTGAGTGAAAGTCTCTGGACTCTTTCCTGCACCAGCTTTCCTGTCTGCAGCAATAAGCAGCTGCACTCCCCTTGTGGGGTGAGTTCATGGGCTTGTGCTCTGGCTTTTATTGAGGCAGGCATGTTGGTATCCATTGCTTTGGTATTCACCTCTTTTCTTACCTCGACAGGTTTTATGAAAGGCATTGACAAAGCCAGCTCCTTTCATGCACTCTGTCAGAGCCACTGTGAGTCACAGTGTGAGCTTCTCTTCCCACCTCTTTGCCTCTCTGATGCTATCTACTTGCAAAGGCTGGGATTTTATCCTGAGCATGGATATTATTGTCTTATTCTTGGTAAACTCCAAAGGATGTCTGTGTATCTCATTATACAACCTGACACAATATCCTTCACAGATACTGTTCTGTTTCATTAATACGTTTCTCACTACTGCCAGAGCCCAATAGAGTTGTAGGAACAGTGGCTAGACAGTGCAAAAGGCAGTAATGAGATTTTTTTTTATGTGTGACTTTATGGTATTGAAGAGCTCTATGTATCATCTCTCTGTGTATCATTCCCTCTCAGGTTGCTGCTGGTGAACATGTTCTGTCTTGACTCCTCCATCAGCCACACCATGTCTTGATTTCCACTTAAATCAGTCTCCTACCATTTTAACCCTGGCAGCCTTTGAAATCAGGAGGCCACTGGAACAATAGGCAGAATTTATACTGCAGTTTTCATCTTCACAGCAATTTTCGAACAAGAATGAATCAATCTTTAATGGTCCCTTATGTGGGACACAACAAAAGACTGCAAGGCTTATTTTACAGTCTGGGCTCGGAAAACCTGAGGACTTGCTGAAAGACACAGAAAAAATATGGCCAAAACTGCAAAAAGAACAGATGAGCTTGCCCTATGCCCTGTGCTACTGATTTTTTACATCAACATCATGTTCCCAGATAATACCCAGAAGGCAGTTTGTTTTTTGGGTCCTACATTGCATCACTAACAGCAGAACCAGGACATTCACTGCCACCTCACTGTGTCAGTGATATTCATTGATGTAACATAGTCTTTCTGTGGAAAGGGAAATTAATTATTGGAAGTTATAGGGTG